GTATTATGTGCATCATAACCTTAATATATAAAATTGGCTGCCTTTAGACAGCTCAGATAAAATAACATGATTTTATCTACTTGAACTGATGAACTTACGCCCAAACGCTCATATAAAAGTTCGGTCCACACCTGAGAGTTCGACAGTCGCTCTCAACGATATTCACCACGAGCTTCAGCAGACTAAAACAATACGTCGACGGCCGTGGGATTAAAGTGAATGTAGATTTGCGGAGCAGCTATTTCACTATTTCAAAACTCACGCACCTAAGCCTGATATCAATACAAGAGTCAAGAAGACCGGAGACGCTGGAGGGCGCAGAAGGTGTGTGCGAACACATGATAACACGTGCCACAACAACACCACCTTGCTAGGTAGGTTTCCGCGTGCGCGGAAACACCATAAAAGCCATTGCAGCCGGACTCACCCGCATCATAGCACCCCTCATTGTATCATCCATCTATAATCTTGCCAAATGGTTATACAGGCAGCTACCGCTTCATTTGGGACGGAACGGAGGTGATTGACATATTCAACACACAACAGGCGCGAGATTTCCTCGAGGTCTGGCACCCTAGCGCACCAGCACTAACCATCACGTAGATTTGGACGCTCACTATGTAGGCATGCGTGCCGGGTTCATTGGCTCACCCTCATGCGTGACCTAATACATCCCCGTCTATTCTTCGGCAAAAGTGATCTAATCAGGATGGGCTTTCATCCAAGGAAGTTCGATTACTTTAAATATATCACGTTTCTCCTCCTTATTAAATGCATTTGCGCGCTCTATCCTAACGTCAGAACAACAAGATGTCCCATAATTTAACTCAGAACTAACTTAAAATCGAGCACCACATGATGCTCCAGGGACGCGTGAACAAATGTCAGTATCATAGTGCAAATGAAATGGTTTTTTTATGTGTGATATGCAATCTCACACGATCACTCTTCTAAATAAAAGCACACTAAAGAAAAGAGTCTTCTACCACTTTTGATTCCAATTCAGGTAAATTTTCCTGAATATCTCAAAATTCTCAGCTAGTTTTCTAACCTTGTGACCTAAATTTCAGCGTTCTTTGGATATAATATGAACTATTTGTTCCGGTGAATAAGCGGAGTTATTTGAGCAGGAGCAACAGAAGCCTGTTACAATAGAGACATATTAGGATGGTAGGTATATGACAGGCGAAAAGTTAGACGATACATTCTTTATGGGAAAATCTAATGTTGAGATATGATTCCGTTCAGATCATCTTTAAATTTCTTTAAAGTGAATGGATTGCACCAGACTAGATATTATGTTTAACGTGTTTATTACAACCTTCAAAATAGCGTATTTTCTAAAACTATACAAAGTAGTTGGGACTTCTTGCACGCTTAGGACATATATTCAGCCTTACAAATTATTAAACCACACCGCTGAGAAAAATGAACTTTCCGAACAGTACTTGGTACTAAATATGGTTTTAATTAATTAAAATGTTTACCAAATATGTGACTTCTTAAAAGACAAGTTAAACGGGTTTGTTGCAGACAACTGCCGGAATATTTACGCTTTTCCTGGGTTCGGTCAATGTGAAACGTGCGACTTGTTTGGTTTCTTCACTTCTTGAAAAAAAAGTGTGATAAATTGTCATTACAAATGAATGAAATACTCACTTTTTTCTCTATGATGTTGTAGTATCCGGTATATTTAACTGCTTATTGACTGTAAGTGCACTACAGAGTGACCACGTAAGTACTGAGGTATTCCAAAACTGTTAGTATTATACGCGTGCAGCCCAAGTTGTCATAACAAAATGTTTTAGTGGATATTTTACACTATCCGTTCGCCATACTCCAACTGCACTGACCGAATGAACGTGCAACGCTGCTAGAGACGACTACTGAGCTTAAGAACTAGCGTTCCTATTTCGGCAAGGACGAAAACCAAGATCAGAGAACAAGAGATTAATTTAGCACCTGACATGAAACGTCATACCTCAAGTGTGTGTTCATACTCATAGCTAGATAAATGGAAATTCGACTCTCATGTACTCGTAGCACGAGTGAATAACGAATAGAAGAATGGATGGAATGACTGATCCACTGATGACCGACAGGTGTTACGCCCTTGGCGACACTGCGCGTCTTATCATACCTCGCTGTAGGTGATGGGTGACTGATAACGATAAGTGGACAAAGTGCCAGACAAGCTTCCGAAGCATTTGGGAGGGAGTGGTGGGTTAAAAAAAGAAGGCATGACCGCATCATTATTATTATCATTATTATTATAACCACTTGCAGTCAAATTGGTTCTTTTACTGTCATTCCGTGTTTGCGATTTAATTACGACCACATACGTCAGAGCAACTAAAGGAAGACCTTTATACCATCAATATATTGCTTAAAGAAAATATGGTAGTTTGTACTTTTAGCCGTGGAAGTAGAAGAAAACAGGCCATGCACAGGCCTATACGAAGGAAATAAATTCTGAACATGTTACCATTTACGGACAAGTTAGTCTAGTGAGGATTGGGGACAGGTTTGCAGAGCACTTTAAACTTTGTGAACCGAGTCAACAGCACAACAGGGCAGGTGTGGGAGCGAATACTAGGGGTTCATGGGTGGAGTACTGCTCCCTCGTCCGCTATTAACCGAAGTGACTTTGGCCGCAATGAGTGAACATTTTTGAGAGCGTTTGACCAGCATTCAAGAACACTAACTAGACTTGCGGAATATAGATGCAAGGCATATGTCGGAATAAGAACAGCGGGTGCTTAGCATATGTTAAAATTTGATGGCATAAGATTGCGCGTGTAAGCGGAACCCACAAATCACACCAAGGCTGAAAAGTGAAACTATTGAACATTTCAATGTGTGTGAAGGGTGACTACTAGGCCGTTTTCTTGAGCTCGGTGGGAAATTTGAAAACAGACTAACGGCGCTATTTATAAAAGTAGCCTTAGAAGGAAAAACTAACGGACTTAAATTAATTCTAGTCGCGAGTTCAACATCGTATTCACCGAGATAACCGCTCACATTAGAAGAAATAGCAGCTAAGAGTTGAGTAAAATAGTGGTCTAGGATAAAAACCCGTTTGCTCGATTGACTGACTTGGCCACGACCTAGAACGCCCTGTTCCATTTCCTTTGGACTTGCCCCACTCATTGCGGACAGAAAAATACCCCCTACAACTGCTACTTTTTATTCTGCTCAATATAGATCTCAGAAAACTTTATTCGGCGAACATATGTTTCCAGCAATTCATCGTCTTGCTCATAGACACATTTGCAAGAAACGGGACCTCCGAAGTAGGCCCTCCGAAACAGGGGCTACTCCTGCTTCCTATCTTGGATATGAGAAATTCCTCTTATTACCAAATTGCCAAATGGTTGGTATAAAAGCTGAAGTGGCTTAGAACTCACTTAAACCATAAAAGCTTGACTTGTACCTTAAGGTTTGCCAACGCTTTAAAGAGTATGAAAGTTGGTGGAAGGAAGATGCTCTCATTGGATGTATCCTCACTTTTTACCACTGTACACATAATAAAACAATAGACTGGATCTGTGAAGTTATTCGGGATACGGACAGCCAGATAAGTTTGCCCGTAAAAATCCTGAAGGAACTACTCACTTGGTGCACAAAAATGTGCAATTCTTCTACAATGGCCGAATCTACAGACAAATAGACGGTGTGGCGATGGGCTTATCATTTGGCCCCTTTTTTCGCAAATCTGTTTATGGCAAAGATTAAGAAAACGAGTGTAAGGGAGACCATCAGTGACCTCGAATTTTACGCTCGATACGTGGATGACATCCACCCCTCCATCGCTTTTCCGCAGAGGCTGGGTTAGATAATGAAATTGTGTTCCTTGATGCCTCCTAAAACTATTGAAACAGAACTTCAACAGCCGCAGAATACGCTTCTTGAAAACCGATACCCAAAAATGTCCATCCTCACGAATATTGGTGAGTGCGCTAAAAATCGTGTTACTTGAACTGCAGAAAAGATAGAAGGCTGTATAAGACAGCCTTTTGTTAGGCGATGCTGAAAGAAAGCTGATAACGCGATGTCAGACTACTATGATTACAATTGCTTTCCCCGTGGCGAACTTACGTGTGCTCTTCACGGACTCTCTCCTCCTACGATTGGACGGTAAAAATCGACTCCCGTTGAAGGTCAAATCCATGCGCATCTACTATTTCACTTAGTCCTGTGTAGCAGGATACATTGGCCGCACAACGAGGCGCCTCGAAAAGAGAGTACGTAAACATATACCGGACTGTTTAAGTAAAGGTGAAACCAGATCGATCTTGAGTTCGGTTTTCGCAAACCTTGTCGATAAAAATCTTCGAGTCGATACTAACGAAGACTTTCAGGCTGTCTACCGGACATCAGCCAATTTCTCCAAGGGCTTACGCCAACGGGTGCTAGCAACAGCCAAATCAGTGACTATACGGCTAGCGAATCCAGTGCTGTGCTCTCAGAAGACGCTAACACAAGCCTTTTCACTTACTTGGCCGACACTGACGCCAGATGGAGATCGCATATCGCGCCCACCCTCTAGTAACAGTCGTTCACGCCGTGCAAGTGAGATTAATTATCACTGAAAGTACTTGACTCGTGACGAACGCTCGCAACCTATTTTACTTTCCACCCCCTCCCTACTACCCTCTGACGCTGACTTCACCATGCGGCGGTGTGAAAACGATGAGTTGTAATCAAAGGACCCTTTTAACCCTGTCCAACTCTATGATTTTCATTATTCCTGCAATTTTGCTGGCCTGGTGATGAATTGCTGAAAAAATGTGTTTGCCGAATAAACTTTCGAAGTTAAATGTAGGAATATTTTCAGAACTTAGACGGTCAAAACGTCCATTGGTGTTAAAATAACTCAACGAATTTCTAAAGTTTGACACCAGGCTTGCTGAGGCAAACGAGAGAATCAAATATTTATCCTGGGTGAATATCCGACACATTACTGCAAAACCTTACGAATAAACCATATCGTTGTATCGTCACCCACGCTGAGACGACATGCAGAAAGTTGCCTTGAACCGGTTAACGCCGGAATTCTGGAATTGCAGCGAAACCTGGGTCAGGGAGCAGCAGTCCTCCACTGTCTTGAAAATCTCGGGAGAGTGGCGTTTGACGACTATGTACAAACAAGCATAAACAGAAGATTCGGGTTCAGGTGGGCCAAACCCCTTCAATTTATCCCATCAATAAAAGCGCCGACCACCCTTCCAGAAAATCCGGAGCGGTACGTGCATAATTATTTTTCAATACGACCTGACAAATCGCTCTTAGAGGTACTATTTCTAGTTCCTATGTTCTGCATCACACGGGAAAGGCCGAAGCAACTAGATTTAGAAACAGAATACGGGACTCTTTTTAGCTAGACTGTCGATATAAAATCTAGCGAGCCTAGACAAGTTGATTATCTCAAGTCGACTCTGGTTAACTGCTCCCAGCAGTATTTAAGGGGAGGGAAGGTGAGAAGCAGGACGAACAGGTCCAGTAGGCAAACGATGACGAATCGGGTGAAGGAAAATAATGAGGAATAGGAAATGGAGAATTCCGTAGCGGGGTAAGGAGCAAAGGAAGGTGTATGTATTGGAGGTGGATGAGGACGACGTCGAGGGATTGAAAACCTCTTTCGACGACCTAACAGCATATGCAGACGTATAACATGAGGGGGAGATGGTGTCGGCGGTTTTAAGGGACATATGGGATCTGTTTTTTGTGGAAAGTACACTTGGCAAGCAATCGTGCAGGTATCCCGACCAAAGCAACATCTTCAACGAAACAGTAAACATATTTTGCTGCCTAGTTAATGAAATTTTGATAAACATGAGACATTTTACATTTAGATACATTTGCCCATGAGACTTGTGGACATATAATGAAGGTGCCCTAATAGCCCAAAATCTTAAACAATTTCTGAGTAAGGGAATCGTATTTTAGTGATTTCATAAGCGAAGTCCTTTTTGTGAGAAAAGGTTGAGATTCCCTCCACCCCGGAGATCAGGATTCAGGCCTGTTATCTTCAAAATCTGCTCTTTTTCCTTAGTTAGTGCATGTCTGGCCTGTGCACTTTTCCGAGAACTGAATGCAGGTAAAAACATGCGTTCAACGTTTGGTACAAGTGGATCGTGTGAATATGGATTGGGGTCGGCGGCGGGTTGATTAGAGGTGGTATGTGCGGTGTCAGTGAGTGTTGGGTGAAGTCGTTTCAGAGCAACAGAGGGCATGGACCATTGCATTCATTTCAGCAACCGTTGGCAATACCAGGCGCGGAGTTTGCAGGCTGTTCTTTAGTGCGCACATTACCACCTTCCACAAGTTGATAGCGGTTGCTTTTGCATTTGACAGCAGACACGGAACTACCGACTTTGGGGGATTTTGTAGAACCTTACGAATCAGACCACAGGCTTAGCCTTTCTTGAACTATGCTTGAACGTGTTCTCTTATTCGTTGGGACGGGCGCCGAATCGTGTGATAATTAAAGCTCATTCTAAAAAGGCAACAAAATGATTGGATGCATATCGAGGTGGTCTGAGCTGAAAACTTATCATCAACTTCTCTATAACAAAACAGGGTAGGTTAAGAATAATATCTTAACTGTTGCCAGTGGGACGGTTTATAAGACAACCCCGTCTCAGGAGTTCATTTGTCGCATTCCATTGCATGAGGACTTTGAGGTATAGTTATTTGCCTTCTACAACAATGCTGTGGGTTCTTCTAGTTTCGCGACAATACAATTTGCAAGTAACCTGTCAGCATACCCATTTTATAAAGCGGAGCTAGGATTATTGTAGGCACTTCTGTGATGTAGTCTGCTGAACCAATATTTCCTAGACGAGTCAGATTGCGTATCCGCTGGATAGGTACGAAACTGTCAATTTACTTTTATTGGCCAAATGAATTTTTTTTTCGATAAAACTTTGCTTCGGACACTACTGCCTGGTCTTTAGTTCAGAAGCACATCTAAGTAAAAAGTGAATCTGGCCTTTCCACCTTCAAAGTTACTTTGCTGGAATGAATTGATACAACTGATCCAGCAGCTTTGCATATTAGCGTTTCGTCGGAAATTACACTTGGAAATAGGCAGATATTTATATGGAAGGACGCTGTTCAGCATTACAGACTATGTTATTCCACCGGCGTCCATTTCCGTGTCTTCTCACAATTAAATTGTTTATTGACTTAAATCTCCAATAGAAGTGAATATGCGAGTTCCACGAAGCAGTTCAGAAGAACGAGATGCGATCACTGGAAAATGAGTTTTCTTTTCCTGACGTTTTGGATTCCGTCGGGAAGCCTTAATCAAAGGTAATGGTAGAATAATCGGAGCCATGCGCAGATAAGGGTGAAAAATGCACAGATTGCACGGTATTTATAGTTCCTAGCGGTCATTCGCGTGCGTACTATAATTATCCGTCGGTCTCTGGTAGTCACCGCTTGGGGTCTTAATTGGTGCGGTGATGACTTGAGACTTCGCTATCGACTAATAAATTGCTGCGATTTCCTTATCCGAGTTGGATGTGGACTTGGTAATTGCGCGACTATTATGCTCGCTGTCGTCCGAGTTGTTGCTGGGCCCGGCCCTTCCCACCTGACTGATTCTCTTGCTCAGTCAAATTCTCAGTACGCAGTACGGAAACGCCAAGTCATTGCGCTTGCTGATAGACTGGAAGCCTGAGAACCATGACTCAAGCAGCTCGCGGCTCACGCGATTGTCACCGATTGCGAAATATTTGGCCTTGTTAAACTTGAAAATATGGCCGGGTCCGATCGAGTGAGCTGCAACCTGAGAGTTTGTGTCTTTCCTTCTCACTGCCGCTGCATGCGCGGCCACTCGCGTCCGTAGTAATCTCCCGCTTTCTCCGATGTAGTTGTACTGTCTACAACTGCACCGGATGCGCTAAAAAACCCCAGTCGTGTCCTGCCGTGGCAGTAGGTTTTTCGATCTCATGGCCCGGCGTCTGATTGTTGCTTTTGGCTTTTGTGCACAACTCAAACTCCGAGTGGGGTGAGCAGACGGCCGACGACTTCCGATACATTTTTCACGTACGGAAGGGATCGCCAAACTGTCGGGCCAGTCGGATGTAGTTTCTACTCTCGTCTGCGTATACACTGATCGACAAAATTGCGCGGGTAAACATTCGCTCTCAGTACCCATCGATGATATTGTAATTCGAAAATTTTGGCTTCCGCTTCGCTGTAATGCGTTTCAACGTGCCAGTATAGCGCTCTTACGCAGCTGCATTTTTGATCGATCGGGTGGTTGCTGTTGAAGTTGCGGACCTGCATAGTGTTGTTTGCCTTACTGAACACTTTTGTTTTTAGGCCACCGCCGTCTTCGTGGCAAACGAGGACATTTAGGAAGACCAGCGTGTTGTTTTCTTCTTCCTCCATTGTAAATTGAATGTCCGAGAAGATGGCGTTTAGACGTTGCCTGAATGTCCATATCTGATCCCGCTCAATTACGACGAAAGTGTCGTCCACATACCGAATCCAGAATTTCGGTTTGTGGTGATAGAAAACCAGCGTCTCCAACCGTTGCAAGACCGCCTCTGCTATGAGTCCGGAAAGGGATGAACCCATCGGCGACCCATTCCCCTGCTCGTAGATAGTTCCGTTGAAGTTAAAATACGTCTTGAGACAATACTCTAGGAGCTGGAGGATTTGGGCGTGCCCGAGGCGATTCACCGTTTCATCGTATTTCTCTCGTAGGAGTAATTGGGTAGTCTTGACTGTGAGATCCTGACGGATAGAAATAAAATCGAAGTGACATCAAAGTAAACCACGATAAATTTGGCAGGAGGCCTACCCTTTTAAGTTTCTCCAAGAATTATGTTGACGACCTGGATGTTGTGTTTGAATAAGCTGTCAACAATTTGAGCCGTCGGAACAGCCACTTTGCCAGTCCGTAGGTTGCAGTTCCTTTGGGAGATACGACTGGCTGGAGGGGTGCGCCCTCTTTGTGTTCCTTGGGGAGACCATAGAAGCGTGCGAGGGCCGTTTCCTGTGCTCTCGCCATGCGTCGCTCGATTGGCGATATTGTACCCGAGTTCTCCATTGCCAACTGCGTTGTGTTGATTTCGCGTTTCAGCTTTTTTATGGAGTTGGATTTGCATGGGACATAGGACTGACGATCGGCTAACAGAGTTTGAGCTTTTTGAATGTAGTTTGTCCTTTCCAGTGCGGCAGTGGAACACCACTTGTCCGCCGGCACGATAACGAGGTCATTGTCGGCTCTGAGTTCTTTAAGTGCCTTAGGTTCGACCTTAGAGAGAGCCTCGCGTGGTCGGTATGCCATTAGGAGGGACGACACCTGGTGCCGTATAAGGTTCTTCGTTTCGTCCGTCGCTTCTGTTTGGCTGAGAATTGATTCAATTGCAGCAATCATGCTAGCAGGTCTAGCATCAGCTGTCTTGAATGAAGCTTCATGCCTTAACACCCGCAACTGTTCCTCTGTCAGATCATTGGATGACAGAATTTGCACCAGTTTGTCATTCTTATATAACGTTGGAAGAGGTAGCTTGCAAAACTTAACTGCAAATGCTGCCTTTCGCTTCCCTTTGTGGTCGCGGACTCGTTCGTCCACCCTCCGCTGGAGCAGTTGTGTACCATTCTCGCCCATGAACTGAAACCATTTTGTCTTCTCTTCTTCTATCCTCTGACGGTATTTGCGAAGCCTCGCGTGACAGTCTGGAAGGATCAATCAGATCATACATCTGGCGTGCTGAAATTCGCTGCGTCTTGCCAACTCTATATTAACCGGAGGTCTGTATGAAACATATTTAGGTAACACATTATTGTTAAGACACCTGGGAAAGAATCGGATCCGCACATAAGTAGACGACTCTCGAAGGAAAAATGTTTCCCACCAACAGGATACTCCGGAGTGACTAGGAAGAACACTGTATCGTCCATCGACACATTGCTTCAAGACTAGCTTATATGTTGTCTTTGTAGCCTTACTGGTGGACATCATCAGGCCAAAAGTCTGGTGAAAGCGATAAGTAAATTATGGCTGGATAAGTAAAACAGAAATTAAAATCAGCACTGGGAGTTGGTTTTTTTGAAAGAAAAATCAATAAAGCAGTGTTTCCTTGTCCGCTTTGTAAAAGTGCATTTAGCCGCGGTGAGTTAAAATTCACCGACTGCGCGGGACCAAGGTGAAAAAACACTAATTAGATGCGCTGAAATTAGACCCAGGGCATCCTTCGGAACACGAACAACGGACGTTTAGCGTATTTTTTAAAGTTGACGGTGGGAATTTACATGTCTAGGCGGAAACGACAAGCCAGTGCAAGTTCGTAACTTTAGATCTTAGAGCATTCCAATTTGTGTGAAAGGTGATTGCTGAACCATAGTGTCGTTATCGGTTGGAACATCGCAGACTATTTAATGGATCAACGTCTGAAAGTAAATTAAGTCGGATCACCTGACGAATTGAGGAAAGTCGTTTTTAAGGACAGTGAAGTCACTGCCACGGAAAGGGCAAACACATGAGGGAATTCAGCTGACAGCTGTGGAAGCTGATATACGAAAACGGTCTGAGTTTAGGTGGGATTAATTGCAAGTCAGTGACGTAAAATGCAAATCTGGCAGAGCAAGCTTTCTATGTGTGTAAAAGGGCGCCTTAAGCAGTTAAAATTGCTTTGTTTGGTTAATAGTAGCCAGCTGCACTCAAATATACACATTCGACTTTGCATAACATCAGCAAGAAATTTGGATAATGGGAAGCGTTCCTTAGTAGGGTTTACCTATTCCCTTTATGAAAGACGTGCAAACAGTCTGCGTGGCGACCATTTTGCCCGCTACCGCCTCCGGTTTTTTTTTTGACGGTGGCCTGACACAGGGCTCAGTTGGGCAAGAGGGGAAATTGTGCGGTATGTACTACGTAAGTCTGTTATGACTGGAAGGTAACTGCCTTGCAAGTTACTGACTCTTCGGCTTGGACGTAGTTCACGAGGAATGACGTTTCTGATAGTGATCTGCAGGGACCAAAAACTTTGCTTCAGCTCTCCTTTCACCAAATTGAGACCTTTCCGACTTGTTATCCATTACCAGAGAATGTGGATAAGTTAGTTGTTGATCAAGGTCGTACATGTGCAAGTCCTATTAACCTTTCTAATTTTCTTGCTGAACAGTTGACGTCTGTATGCACACAAGTGTGCTTATATGCCTTTTGAAGATGTGTGCAACCCTTTTTAGCGTAATGAAGAAACAGTAGACGAACACCTATCTACAAGTAATTGCGTCAGAAGGTTCGGGTTCAAAAGGACCACTAAGACGTAACGACCGTTCGGATGACGTCTAGCACATTCACTTGTGGTAATATGTCAAATCGTGAATTTTCCAAAGTTCTTTTTACATTAGCGCTTGGGTTCTTGCAAACCGCGCCCGCACGGTTCAAAGCACACCTAATGCAAAAATATCACTTCACATGAAGTGAAGTGCATCAGCTTCAGTCGAATAACCATACCAAATTCGCGAACTGCAAGCAGGTGGTAAGTCGTACATTAGATTTGAGCGATTTGGCGTTAGTTGAATATAAGCGCAGGTTAGTATTGGTACTTTATTTTACTGATGAAACATTTGCTGAGTAATTAGCATCTGTTCGCCCACCCTGACACCCACAGGCTATTCCACAAAATGAGCATATTTTATTTAGTTACAGAACGATATCAACGTGAAGAACTGAAGAGAATTTTTGGCATGTTAACTTCTGCTTAACAACACATCCTTTGCATTTTACAAAGTGAATTTTTGCAAATGTAAAACAGTCACGTAATCCTTAATTCTGGCAGGGAGAAGAAATCGACAGCATGTAAATTGGCTGTTAGCCAGGTGGAAGGAATTGTCTTATAACTTTACGATAAATTAATAATAATATTTTAACCGATCCATCTAAATTCCGACTCGGATATGGTTTAAAATCCAAGTACAGATTTAGGTGAGACTCAGTGGCTACATGAGTCAGTTTTCCGCTGCTCTACGCTTCAGCGTCGCTGTTCGAAGAAAATTCTTTCGGACAAAATCCTTCTAATCCGACCAAAAAGCGCCTATAAATGTTAAACGGTAAAACGTCCCCTACTGTGGTATGAAAGTCAACGTTCGGGACTTGCGTGGAATAATCTAAACTTTCTGTATTTGGCATATTTGTCCGCATATAAATGGTAAGGAACCATTCAGGAATCGGGAAACTATTTTGTTCAGAACAGCTGAGACAGGTATTGACGGCGGTAGTCAGGCAACCATCTCATTTCAGCCATTTATTATATTCCATACGTACTGACCGAGAGAATTTGTGACTCGGCTATAGATGACCGTTTATCTAAAAAGTGGTGGTCAGCGGTCTCACTTAACATCCTCTCAACTAATTTAAAGACAAAAGCCAAGCGTAGTGAACAAGATATTTAGTTAGCAGTTGACACGAATCATCATGTTTAAAATGTTTTCAGAATGATAGGTAGGGCGATGCGCATTTGTCTTTCATATAATTCTAGCACGTTAGCGACTAGAAAACCGAGAGAGCTCGTCTATTCCCTTTGACCATCCTCTATAATAATGTACATACTGTATTAGAAATTATTCGGCCAGGAAGATGTCTACTTTTTCTATTTTTAGGTTCGAAATGATGATGCGAGCATATCGTGTTGTGGGCTAAATAACTAGGAATATTCTCTACGCTTAGAATTACTGGTTTATTTTTATAGGGGTGGAGCTCAATATTTTGATGATTTTCCCATTAAAATCATCATCCGCAAATGTACTTCATAATATTTTATTAAATCTCTGACTAGGCGGATATCTTCCGTTAATTTGTTTAATGTTAAGCAAGAGAGAGAAAAATAAGTTTGCTGAGAAGTAAGAAGTATGTATCTTCTATGTTAAGGATTACTAGTTTATTTGTAAAAGATATTAGCTTGCGCATCATCATAGAAAATAAGAACGATCTGTCCTTTTTCCTGTGGAAATTAGAAACAGAAACCAATATCCGAAGATCTACAGGATGAAACTGAAATTATGACAGGTTCACTACAGGCCCGCGGAAGGGATTTTCTCAGGCAGAAGCCGTCACGCAGTTTTGTTAGAAGATTAATTCTTTGACCATCAAGATGTATAGAAGGGCCCAGGGAAAGGTGCCTGGCCTTGCCGCCGATGAGCTTCCAACTGTCCAGCGTCCGTTGCCCGTCTCGGTGACAGCCAGGTTTCCCCAATCAATCCAAACTGGCGGACTAGGCGACCACGTTATGTTCGTGGCAGGGGTGAACAACATGGTACAGTTATGTCCGCAAGATAACTGAAATATCACTTGAATGGTTTCTGATTCCATTCGACCGGAGATATAGACCAATCGTCTGCCTGCGCGTTTTCTATGTAAAATAAGATCCGGGCATCAAGAATGCATCGGGATTATCAGCAATTACATGAAGATCTACGGCTTAATCGGCTTTCCATTTAAATAACTACAACAAGCGCTCCATTCCAAAATAGTAAACATTATAGTTTCTAGAAAAACGCATAACGGATACTTTACATAAGGGAAATGGTTTTCGTAAGTGACTGGATTTTCAAGTTTTACGTCAATAATTGCTTTACTCTGGCAAAATAACGCATACCGTCTCGAAACAAACCAAAGAATTGTTTTATATTGTGTGAAGAGATCATCCTCCTTTTCCACGTGCAGCAGTAACTCGTTCTTTAAACAACACAAGCTCAGCAACGTTTTATGGAAAGTCCAAGAGGCTCAGATGCATAGAAAAGCCAAATATCCAGGCTAAACTCCATGGTAACTGCATTCTGTCACTTGGTTTCCTGTCCGCTCTACAAATGACTTTGCTGCCTCTAATTGGCACACGGAACAGTAACAGGAAGTTCATATACTCCCGGCTGGCATCTCTCCTTACTTTTTGACGACCCTCTGAACATGGGTACCATGAAAGCTCGCCTATTCAGGGGTATCTGATGAAGACTGCGTTTATTTGAAAAAGACGGGGCCTAATTAATACACAAATGGCGCATATGTGTAGCGCGTGACTCACCGAATAATGTCACAATCCGTAGTTTTGATAAATCCCCTCGCCCGCTGGCCTCCTCCATTTGGCAAACCGGTTGAACAGTCTAAAAAATTAAAAATGCATTCTGAAGCAACCCTTATGATTAAGGTAGGTAATGCAAAGCCCGGCCTATACAGAGCCATTGGTGCACAAACATAATTCCGCTCATTATGCTCAAGGCAGATTTAGCTCACATTGCGCTAGGTCGACATAGTTCTGTTTGATAGATAAAATAACCTTTCTTGATAAGTCTGTTAAATAGAAAGAACTGCCATATGGCCAGCCTCATGTGGTTCTACTTTCTAACTATGACTGCCGTGTCCGTACTTATCAGTGTTTATACAGAATTACCAATATGCATTAAGAGTTTTGCTTGGCAAACGAAAATGCTTATCATTTTATTTACCGTCGAACAACAGACGGAATAAATGTTTTTCTACCAGACAATCCACCATACATTTTCTTGATATTTATTGCGTCTGTAATTTCTATATGCCATACAATACACGCGGTCAGAACGCAGACTTTAAAAAAGGGCAACCTTACCTCGATGTCACTCGTAAATAAGAAT